TGACGAGCTCGCGGGCCTACTAGCAGAGAACAGAAACCTCACAAGCAAAGATGCTTTTTCTATTCTCCACGCTATACACGGCAGCGCACTCAACACCCACGAATATCATCATACACAGGGGGGGGGAAAGGGGGCCCCCATGGGGGCCCCCCATACAAACCAGGGGGCCCCCATGGGGGCCCCATAAACAAACCAGGGGGAACCCAGGGGGGCCCCATGATTCTGGGGGCCCCTTCAAACGGCCCCTACAGGGCACCCTAGAGGGGCCCCTAGAGGGGCCCCTAGAGGGCCCCATAGAGGGGCTCCTGGAGGGGCCCCATAGGGGGGCCCCTTGCCCCTTGAGGGGCCCCTAGAGGGGCCCCTTGAGGGCCCCATAGAGGGGCCCCTACAGGGGCCCCTGGAGGGCCCCATAGAGGGGCCCCTGAAGGGCCCCATAGAGGGGCCCCTAGAGGGCCCCCTAGAGGGGCCCCGTAGAGGGGCCCTGGAGGGGCCCCATAGAGGGGCCCCTTGCCCCTTGAGGGGCCCCATAGAGGGGCCCCTGGAGGGGCCCCTAGAGGGGCCCCTTTAGGCGCCCTTTCCGCCTTAGAAAGAGACGAATTGCAGTTGACTGTTTTACTTTTGTGATAGCTGATGGTTTTATTTTATTTTATTTTGTTTTGTTTTTAGGGTTTAGTGGTTTGGTTTATAATAAATAAATTAATAACAAACGTTGCGTCAGAATGAAAAAGAAAAAAGAAAACGTTGCGGGGGGTTGTGGCTGTACTTATGCCCCCCGTGAGGGGGTTTAGGTTCTAGGGTTTAGGGTTTAGGGTTTAGGGTTTAGGGTTTAGGTGTTGAAGGCCGTCTGCAGGTTCTCCCGCAGCTGAGCCGCAGACTTCTCCCTGTCAACCCGCCAGGCGTTCCGTGGCGCTGTCTCATCTGTGCGCATACAAACCCTAAACCCTAAACCCTAAACCCTAAACCCTAAAAGCGGAATACGTTACAAACGGGAGGGTTTATCCTGTGTGAAGGGGGTTTAGGGTTTAGGGTTTAGGGTTTAGCATTTAGGGCGGAATGAAGCAGGTAGGCGCATTTCGGCTCGTAGGGAGAGAGCAAGGTTTAGGGTTTGGAGGCGAGGGTTTAGGGTTTTGAGGGTTTAGGGTTTAGGGTTTAGGGTTTGCACGGCCTCGAGTTTAGGGTTTCTAGGCGCAGGCGTTTTTAAGGTTTCGCGTTAAGGGTTTAGGATATGTAGGGTTTAGGGTTAGTAAGCCTTTGTGTTCGGGGTTTGTCGGAATTAGGGTTTAGGGTTTTAAGTGTTTAGGGTTTAGGGTTTAGGGTTTACCGAAGAGCAGCGCATGCACCCCTGATCCCCCCAGTATACTCTTGGGCATGAGCTGGTGTTGCCTCAGTCTCCTTTCTATCAGCAGCAAAGCAAAACCCTCATCGGCTACCTGCTGCAGCAGCTCGGGGTCGA